GAAAAAAGTTCCTGTAGCATCAGAACATTTTATGACCTAAACTGACCAAAATTTATGCTGAAAATATAAAGTTTTCTTCTACCTCTTCCCCTTACATGTTTCCCCCAAAGGATATCTTATTCCTTTGGAAAATGAAAATTCCTCTTGATGTGCGACTTTTGTAGCAGTCTGAATTCAGAGCACTCCTAGAGATTTTCTTTGAAACAAGGGACTCTATGCTGGGAAGTGTGACAGAAAAGGTTTGGGAGGTCCTTGGGAACAAAGTCTCCAGGGTGATGGACTGAACTTTGATATGGAGGAAAGAGTTAGCAGTCTGGTTTCTACTCCCAGCTGTGTGAACCTGAGCAAGGCATCTGATCTTTCTGGTTTTCAGTTTCCCAACTAGTAAAAGGATTTGTGAAACGGGAACTATAAGACCTGCTTCCCTGGGAGACTATGAGAACTAGCTGAGGCAAAATGCATGTGTAAAGCTTCCAGCGCAGGCCTGGCACAGTAACAGTAGCAACAGTTTCCCTCAGCCAGCCAAGAGTAAACCAGAGCAGAGCAAGAAAGGTCAGCTTCCATATCATTTATCATAGGGTGAGAAGGGATCCTTAAAGGACCAGAGTCTGATCCCTGGTACAAAAAAAAAAAAAAAAAATCTTATTTATTTTAAGACTCTGGCTGCAGACTAGACCTAGGATTGGTATAGTTATTAAACCAACAAAAATCAATTATGAAATGAGAATTAATCTTATACTAAATAACAAAAGGACTCTTGAGTACCATAACAGGCAGTAAACAGATGGCAATTTCTAAAAAGGCCTAATGAAGAGCTGAACTACACTGTCCAGTTCTTCAGAGAATAATACTGGCACCTTCACCTACTTCTGAAATTGTCACCCAATTGTTATTTTTCTTACATAAGTCAATAAAACACAACTACCACCAGTGGCTAAAATTCTCATGCTCTACCAGGTATACTAATCCACCTTTTAATGAAAAGAAAGTATGGATCTGTGCTCTAGGCAGGGGAAGAGCAGCAAAGGCAGGAAGAATGGAAGAAAATTTAAAAATCATTATTATAAAAAAAAAAAAAACGGGGCCAGGGATTTCACTCAGTGGTCCCGCCACCTGCCTCAGAAGTACAAGGTCCTGAGTTCAAGTTCTGGTACCAAAACAAACAAACAAAAACCAAGAAATAACAACAACAATAACAAAACCAGCCCTAAGAGAAAGCCCAGGTGAGCATAACAGGGTACCCTCGTGTGCACCTTGTACTATGTTGGGAGTGCTGATCTGAAAAGGTGAGTGGGAGCTGAGTTGAGTGTGATGTAGTGAGCTCTAACTCAGACTGCAATTTCAGAGTGTGTACTCACTGGATATTCAATGTGTTTTGGTTGTATAAGAGGTATTTACCAAATTTTGGGGAAAAGTGACCATTTTGAGGATTTAAAAAAGACATTAAATCCTCAAAGCAGTAATGGTTTTAGTACAGTGACTATTTGAGAAGCCTTTCTATACCCAGAGAAACATTGGAGTTTACGTTCTTGGTAAACAATGGTAATACATGGATATTCATGTTATATACGGCCTGAGGATTAAGTGCAGGAACTTAAAGTTAGCCAGAACTGAGTCCAAATTGTGGCAGCCGTCAATATTGTCAGAAGTGCAGATTTGACCTGTGTTGGCTTTGCCTTTTTCTGAGGGTTTAGACTGCCTTCATCTTTTTGGTCACAGAAGAGCCAATTAATTTAGGAGTATAGAAATAACAGGGTAAATCGATTTCCACAACTGGAAAAACAATTTAAAGCGTGTAGGTTCTAAGTGTCACCTACATATACAGAGAATGGCCCTTTCCCATTATGTGTCAAGATGATCAGTGCCTTAGCCCAGACGCGAGACCTCTCCAGATGACTCTTAGTTGGAGTCAAATAGATTGACATGTCGTGTGTCAGGTCCCAGCTCTATGTTGGATACAACGGATTTATTTTTATCAAACTCTGGTGCCAAATTAAGTTGTTTCAACTTCAGAGCAATTGACAGAGATGACATGGAGTATAATCTTACCCCACAATTTTTTTCCTTTCACTAGTTATAAATACCCCCATGCTATTGTGCTTGGCATGCTGTATGCAAATGGAGGCAGGAGTCCTAAAGCTCATTAAGAAAGGGATGAAGGATTGGAGCATGGAGGAGACAGTGCTGAGCTGAAGCTGATAACAGTGGCCTTGTTCAGAATAGTGCATGGGAGCTTTCTTATCTCGCTTTGGCAGGAGGTGCTCTGGGCTTCCTGTGCGAAATCGGGAGTGAACGCTGCTTTCCTCTTGTTGTTCAGTTTCCTCCCCCCTCAAGACGGTTCCCAGCACAGTGATTATCTTTGCATCTTCAAACATGGCACAATCTACTTCCTTAAGGGCTTGATGTATTCTTAAGGCCTAGGTAAATTCCCCTCCCCCCAAATCTCTTTTCAAGTGCGGTTATAGAGTCAGGCTCCTAAATGATGTTCTATTTTTATGGTTCCAATTACAAAGGGAAAAATAACAGGCACTAAATTAGAAAAGAGTCACAGAATCTGTCCTTTCATTTGGAGGGCCTGGCCGTAAGCTGTGCCTATGGTTTCTGTACCAAGGCCCTGTGTAGTTTGTAACTGGCCTTGCAGTCACAGATAGGGGTGGGTGCTGGGGGGAGGGATGTGGGTATCAGAAGTTGACCACCCCAAGTGAACTCGGACAGCAGTCTCTATTTCCCTAGGGAAATGCCTTGACTTGTTTTACTCTAACATGATTCTTTATACTTCCTGAAAGCCAAATACTGTATATGAAATTCCACTCTTTGACTAAGGCCTCTCTTGTCTTTTTCATTGCTTTGAGGAAAAAAGAATGAAACCTAAAACCTTCTCTTTCAGGTCACAATCCCAAATGCACACACACATGTCTAAAACAAATACAAACACATTACATATACTTGTGTACATGCTGAGGCCATGTGAAAGGTGGGAAGTCAAATACTAATGCAAGGTATGGATGTTATAGTCTAGCAAATAGAGAATATTGATAATGGAAAATAGGGCAAAGTGACTTTTATGTAATAATTTAAAAACTATCATTAAAATTTTTCTAGTAGAAGAGAAAGTACATAATCTCTTTTTGGTTCAGTTTTCTCTACTAATCAATAAGACTGAAAATGTTCATTTATCTTACCTGATGATTATAAAGAATAGCTAGTTGAAATCTCAGAAATTCCTTAAGGAGTAGTCAGCCTGTATCCTTTTTAATTTTAAATATTATAATCTAATTGCAAAAAAAGTCTTTTTTTATAACATTTGGAGAAATCTGACACGTGGGATAGGTATAAACCATGGAATTATTGCTAATACTATTAGGTATAAAAATAGCATTGTGGTTATATTAGAAAATGTGCATATATTAGGTGTTTTGTTTTGTCTTGTTTTGTTTTTGGTACTGGGGATCAAACTCGGGACCTCATGCTTGCAAGGAACCACTGAGCTAAATCCCCAGCCTGAAAATGTGCATAATTTCAGAAACACCACTTAGGCAGACAGCTAAAAATGAGATGAGTCTGGCATTTGCTTTAGAGATACTTTACAAATGAGAAAAATAGGGGATAGTAAGGAAAATGTGGCAGATCTTGATTACTGAAATCTGGATAGTGGTATGAGTGATAGCTGAGTGATAGAGGACTTGCCTAGTGTGCAAGGCCCTTAGTTCTATCCCAAGCGTGTGTGTGCGCGCGCACACACACACACACACACACACAAAATCTGGAGATAAGTATTTGGTGGTTTATCACACTGTGTTCTCTACTTATCAGTAAGTTTGAAAATAATAAACAATGAAACTTCTTCTAGAATTAGAACTTATCAGACACATGCTTGTGTGTATGTTTATTATGAATGTTTGTGGAGTGCTGATTACACACGCTGCTTACCTAGGGACACTGAGTGAATAAGTAGATGCTGCTACTGTCCCCTTGTGGCTCTTGGTCAAGGACGCTTCAGAAGCAGTAAGTAGACACTGAGAAGTTGGCGAGTGCTCTGCAGGCAGGAGGATGTTACAGGACATTACATGTAAGGAGGGGAGCCTAACCCAGCTGTCCAGACATTTAACATTCTGCGAACCATTTTCAGCTCAAGCAACAGAGAATATTAACCGAACTTTTTGTGACCCACACAATGTCTTCTGTCTTAGCCTTTTCTCACTTAATTTGTCCTCCACTTGATTTCACATATCTGCTCTTACCTACTTAATATCCACTTAATATTCTTTCTGGAATTAAAATTCTTCCTGGCATGAAAATCCCCAGAATCTGCCTAAGACACACACAAATTCAAGATTAACAAGCTTTATAATCACCAAATGTTCTAGTCTAGAAAGTAAGAATGCAAAATAATGAAATGTTTAAAATAGAGGAAGAGTTCACAGACCTTAAGGATAAACATCACCACCCTATTTATAATTAAACACTGGAGACCTAATGTCAAGAGCTTGCCATGATACCCCAAAACTTGAAAGAAATAGATTGAATTTAATAACTACCCCAAATGTTTGTTTCCAGATGCACTTGATTAGCTCCGAAAAAATTAGCTGTGCAACTGAATATTCCAAGTAAAAGCCAGCCTTTTGTAGATGTGAGATGCTGTTATTTTCTCAAGGTTTCCATTCATTAACATAATTTAATTTTTCCCCTGTGTTTGCATGTTATTCCCACTAGGAACTAATTAAAGTCTAGACATTAAATTTTCTAATATGTGCAGTTTTCTTTACTATTTAGAACAGAAACCATGTATGACAGCATACTATGGGGTTTTGTTCTGTATTTGCTGTTTTTTAATTCTGAGGATGAATATGGGAAAAAAATCAAAGAAAAAGATGATTTACATAAAATTTGTGCTTTTGTTATCTTATCCAAGACTTATCCAATGATTTTCACTTCACTTGTTGCCATTGACTACTCCAGGCTGCAAAACAACATTGTAATGACTTATTTTTTTTTAATAGGTATGACTTTTGTTCCAATAATGAAGAGTCCTTTCTCCTGGATCCTGATAGCAATGTAGGCAACAGAATCGAGAGCATCACTCAACGCGTGGTAACAACAGAAGGAAAGAATAAGGTATTGTTTGTAAATATGGGCATTAGGATATTCTAAAAATACATACTCATCTCCCAGTCCTAGGTTTATTGGAACCAGAAATAATTCAAACACTCAAACAAAATTCAAGGAGAAGTAAGACAATATCTGAGATATGTCTTCATGGGAACATACATTAATATTACTCAAGCTGCTATATGCTCCAGGTGACCCCCGGTTCTGAATGGAATACATAGAGCTGAATCCTTAGACATCATTGATTCTCAGTCCTGCCTGCCTATTAGATTCATCTACCAATTGTCATTACATTCAAATCTCCTGGACCCATAAAAGCTTCCCATGTGATTCTAGAATATAACCAGGTCGGAGAATCACCTTCACACGTAAGTGGGATCCCAGCAAGCAAAAGCTAGTGCAAGTTTTAGGCTAAAATTGAATATTTCTGTGTCATTAGTTATCATGTTTTTCTCTGTCTTTGCTAGGGCAAAGCCTAAGCTGGGTTATGCAAACACACAGTCTATTAAGATATCTCAACCTAATCCAGTCTAGCAGGCATTTGTTTTTCCTGTCACTCTTCCTCTATTTCTACTCCTCTAACCCCCTTCTGAGCCTCAGCGATAGCTGACACCCTGTGAACAAAGCAAGTCTCACAGGACTGAAAATCTAGTTACTTTTTCCCTGTTGAATTAGAAAAGGACACACTTAAAAAGTCGCTATTATCAGACACAGGAATAGTGACACTTAAAAAATCAATCTTTTGCTGAAATATCTATTTACACATGATTATCTTGATTTGGAGTAGGGATTGCTAATATAGACACTATTGTCTGCTGGCGTGTGATTATCCATATACTACCCATTAACATCTGTATTCTTTGCATTTGAAGATAAAAAAGTAAGGAGCATCATTCTCTATGTAGGATTTAGCTATAGGAAACAACATTTGTATTTTTCATTATGTAAAACCTTTTAACATATGCTAATATTACCACTATTCTTTGGCAAGCCAGGGTGGTTTTCTCCATTTTAAAGATAAGAGAAATGGGGGTGATAAGATGATTAACCCAGACCTACACAATTTAGAAGGGTAAATGAGAAACTCAAAGAAAAGTCTTCTAATTCAAAACCAAGGCAATGTCACAGCTAACTTAAGCCAATGCAGAGATTAAAATGATGGTGGCTAACATGATAAAATCAACAGTCATTTGTCAAGGGTTTAGGAACAGTTTTATAGCTAGAGCCAAAGCTGTAGGTGGTTTTATAACTTTTTTCTCTAGCATGAATGAACAGGAGTTGAAAAACATTCCATGACGTATAGCTTTTGATGAGAGAGCAGTTTAATGAGAGATGAGGAAAATCTACAATCTTTAAAAATTTAGTTTGGGTGATATTACAGTGGGAGGGACTATCATCTCAGTTTATTAGCAATTTACAGTAAATTAGTTGTCACAAAGTACTAGACCCATTTCAAGATATCATTAGTAGTCTCTATTCATTTTGCCTTTTCCTGACCATTGAGTAGATGGATTTACTGCTGGATATTATAACAAGAATTATGAGTGTAATTTTAGTAGTAACTTCTGGTCCAATTTTGGTATTTTATCCATAAAACCATATAATAGGAAATAAAATGAAAAATGAGAAGGCTAGATAAGATTTCTCATCAGTTTGAACCATGAAGTGGTGATGAATTCTATGTGATACTTATAAAAAATGGTAGGAGTAGAGTACCAAAGCCTGACTGAGCTAGAAGAACTTCCTAATTTTCTCATGTGGGCCTGAAACAGATGTACTGCCTGGTAATTTTGTAGTTAGGAAGAAGATGTTTTATATACACCTTTGTACACAGTTAGGACTTATACCACCTGATCTACATTCAGGAGCTCCAGGGTTAAGCTCTGTCCCTTTATATTCATAAAACCACTTGTAATGTTTTTCTCTCTTTTGTGGAATTCTTTCCTCCTTAAATGGCACTAATGATATTTGCCCTACTTGGCTTCCTATTATAATATATGGTGAAATAACATGGTGAAAAAGCCCTTTAAAAGTACTACTAGTAAAATGGCAGCCATATATCCTCTTAATTCAATCCCCCAAGCTGACTATAACCATATACAATCAAGATTTTTGTTAAACAGTTACTTGTACTGAATGAACTTTTAATACCCTTTCTAAACAACATTGCAAAGGTGAAATATAAGCAGGGGTGATAGTAACACATTAGATTTAGAGTGATTATTGATTTCTTGCTCTTCAGAAGTTTAACTGGGAGAACTTACTGCTTTTATTTTGTATTAACTAATTGTCTTTTTGTGTGTTAAAAAAGCTGCCTTTCATAGGATGCTGTCATGGAAATGTCACTATTTTTGAGCTATATGAAGTGCTCTTCACAGTTGAAACTGTTCTTTTTTTCCTGTAAATTTTTAGAAATTAAGTCCAAATTTAGACCATTGTGATCCCCTCATTCACAGCCACATAGACAGCCAGGCCATCAGTGCTCCTCTGTGCAGCAGGGACACCGGACTTACACTGGGGCATATGTTGAATTTCAGGAACTTGTTTTGTTTCTTTTGTTTTAAACTTAAGGAAGGGTACAAATGAAAATCAAAGTTAGTTTCTTTATTGGCAAGTTTTGGTCCAGAACTGTGAAACGTGAGTCATCAACTGGAATATCTTATAGCAGATATGGAGTTTTCATAGTTTAAATGAGTCGCCAGATTCTTGGGTTTGTGGATATGAACTAGAAAGTAGAAAGAACCTTGTATTAGGGGAAAAAATTACAACATTAATTCTGTAAGGCTGAAGAATCACAACGATTTTAATTGAACATTTCCGCTGAAATGAGGGCCTATTGAGAAGTCTGTGTACTGTAGGACACAAATCCATGACTGAAATAATACTTGTCACACAATTTAGCTTATGTTTTAATCCCACACAGCCCCCGATTTGTTCTAATTCTCATGTTTTATTTTCCTATCAATTGGCTCTAACATACCAAACTACATTAATTTTAGATTCCTCCATGACGTTTATACAGCTGTTTTATTTCTCCCTAAAACACTCAAAAGCAAGTTATATTAGAAACATCCGGAAATTAAAACCACTTTCCATATGTAGACTTCTTAAAAACTAGTCCTGGAAATGAGGCCGAATGATATACATCACCCCATTCATTCATTCTATTCTCTGATGTTCAAATGACATTGTAGAAATGAAGTACTAATGCCTAGCAAAAGGGAAGGAAGGAAGGAACTGGAAACTCCAAGCTTTCAGTACTTGACGACAATCTTTGAGTGTTCCTGAGTCATTCAAAAAATCCAGGGAATAGATTGGAAGGATGTTTCTAATTTCTAAATCCCAGAGCTCCTGTCAGGATACCCCCAACCAGAAATATTCCAAAGTAGTAAAAATGAAGAGCAAAAAAAAAAAAAAAATGAACCCTTTAAGAATGTAGAATTACACTGGACTGGAAACCTTACCAAGTGGTTGCTTTTTTTTTTTTTCCTTTTGTTATAGTACTGGGGATTGAGCTATATCTCCAGCCCCACAATTGAATTTTTTAAATGTTGTAAGCTGATGTGTTCATCCTATATCATAAGGCAATGTGAGTTTTAAGTAGATGTGAAAGAATTGTTACCTATTACCTTTTGACGAATAGGAACTTGGATATTCTAATTTTATTTTAGTATTTCTGGTGTTTTTCTATTCCTCTGTCCTTCTTCACTGGTTTTCAACGTGACAAATGAACAATAATTATAGAAGTAACAGAAACATATCTGTGAGAATTTCTTTTGGTGTGCTCTATAAAATAAATGATTATGATTTTAAAGATATGTTACAACTCGAATCTTTGGTACTTTGTTTTTTAAAGTATTTACAGTGATATCCAGGGCTCCAAATGTTATGCTATTTTCATTTTTTTCCTTATGGAATAGTATTTTTGGGTTGTAACAATGGGGAACAGATTTGTCCCTTAAACACATAACATTCATACAATGACACTTACTGTGATATGTGTTACCTTATAGTTACACCAAACAAAACCAATGTACAGCTCACACTTGAGTTCCTTTCTCTAAACCACAGAAAGTTTAAACTTTGTCAAGTATTTTCTTATATTTTATGAAACTATGTTTTAATTTACAATTTTAAAATGCATTCATTTGAAGAGAAGCACTGTAGAAAAGAGATAATTTTTAGTAAAATTGATCACAAAATAAAAGTATCACCTTATTTTTAAATTTTCTTTAATTATAACCTTTCATTCATCAGTCATATTTTCATGCCACACAACATTTTATTAGCTGAAAAACAGCTTAGTGCTTATATAAAGTGCTTCCAAAGAAGGAAACTAGCATTTCTATACATGATAGCATTTAGCTTATGGCCTATCTCTGCTGATTAAAGGTGGAATTCTCAAGACAAAACCCAATTCAAGAGTAGACAGAATTTTACCAATGGGTCTGTTACTCACTTTAAAAGGGCTTCAATGGGAAAATCAATTTGATTTAGAAATTCAGAACATGGGTACTTTGAGTTAGATACAGCTGGGCAAAATAAGTTTTGCCCGGACTGATCTGTGGCCCTGCATATCTTGGATGAATCAGTTAACCTTTATAAATCTCAGCAGCTCCATCTACAGAGAAGGGCAGTGATGGCAAGCATTTTAGATCTTTCACTGATAACAAAGAGCTGGCCGTGGCACATGTACAATAGGCTCCCCACCACTGGAATAGGTTAATATTCCCATCTTATAGGGATATAGGGAGAATTAAATGAGATAACACATGTATATTGCTTTGCATGCTGTCTGGTGCATAGCAGAGGGTACAAAAAGTTACCCAGAAAACAACAACAACAAAATGTACATGCTCATCAATATTGTTTTCTACTTCTATTTTACTAGAAACTTTGGTGAGGAGAATACTAAGGTAGGCCTGACTATGTAGAAGGTGTCTTGTTTTGGAAGGCAGCCTAAAGAGGAAAGATTTGAATGTATTCCTACTTTCAAGGTTCATCCTCAGACATGGATTCAAATCAGTTCCAAGTTCCTCAGCTTTATTCGAAAGATAGATAATAATTCTGACCTACCTGACTTCTGTTGGAGCCTAAATGTACTGCCATTCCCAGATCACCTACACATGACAAATGCGTGCATCTAAATTGACTTTCCCTTGTTATGAAACCCAGTTCTTATGCTCATTTGCTGAGTTCAGTGAAAGCATCATTTTAATAGAAGCTCAAACACAACTTATAGATGTGAGTAATGGCTATCCAAATTTTCAAACATTTCCTGGCCAACAAAAATAGTTTTCCACTTAGTTACTGTGCACCAATGAATTTGAGAACTGAAAAAAGTTTCTACTTGGGCCCCTTGGGATAAACACTTGTACTTAAAAATAATGCCTGAGCTGAAATGACACAGAAGAAGGCTTCATTCGAGCTCCTTGTTTCAGAACCTATTGCAAACTGCTTTGCAGCACAAGCCTGAGATTCCTGAGACAACAAAAGGAAGTCAGTCTCACCTGGTGTTCTTTCCTGTCCTTCCATATGTCACCAGGAAACAGTTCCTCTCACGTTGCCACCTCCAGGCATCTCTTTTAACTCTACCACTTTCTTCCATGGCTCTGGGTACAATAATTTAAAGGAGACGGCTACCAGAACCTTTTTATTTCCCATTTCTTATCAAGATTAATAATCAAAATAAGAAAGACGATTTCTGAGCTCTCTTTCAAACTCCACTGGTGATATGGCTTTCAATTACTCCTTCTTTGCAAAGTAAAGGACATACATGTGATCTTCAGGTTGGAAAATTATTCTCTATTGCCTTAAAATTTGTTAAGAGTAGGGACTGTGTGATACTCGTTTCTGACTCCTTTGCAATTTCTAGACAATGCCTTGTTAATCATTCAATAAATGTCTGCTAGATTGAATGAAAAATTCCACATATTGCAGACACTTTTGTTACCTGTAATTTCAATAATACATAGATGGGTAGATATAATTAAGTGGATACTGCCAACAAAAGAAAATAATTTGTAGTAATGAGCTGGCTAACTAAAAAATTTAAGTGCGTTTTCATCTCTGTCTGTAAAGACAGAACTACTTTAATTAGATGGAATAAGAGACCATGAATACCTAATATCAGCAATTCAGAAATGTTAGGATCCTTCCCAGTGACTAAACCAGTTGAGTATATTCACAGCCTGGGAAAATGAACAGTCACATTTCAGCCTATGCAAAAATGTAGCCCATAAGTCACTTGATCATTATGTGTTAGCTAAGAACCCTATTAGTCAGAAAATACCACCAGAGCCCCTATAATTTCACAACCCAGGACCAGTTATTTGCATCCTCAAATACAGGTCATAAAGATTTATAAACAACCAGATCAACTTTTTGTGTATAGTTTTAAGTATAAAAAACTAGCTTTTTTGTTACAGAATGTGCAGTATTTATTTATGCAGCAGGGTTAAATTTGTAGATAACAGTTTGTCTCACATTGCACAATTTATTCTTTAATAGAATACAATTGGAGTCTTTAAGCTGTCAAAATTTTTGTTTCATTATATTCTAGACATTACAGTCTGAAAGTGTTTTTAAGCTCACACAAACTGGACTACTAATATTTCCTTCAGGACAAAATTGTCAAACAGTAACACTAAAATCTAGTGAAACAGTGTTATATTAATTCACAATTTTCGTCTTTACTTTGTAAGAATTGAACAGACTTACAAATTAGGTAATTTATAAATACACATACATGCACACCCAGAACAATCTTAGTTTTTCAGCCTCCTGTCTCCTTCAGGACCATTCAGAGCTGGACGTCATATTCTTTGAGTACACAGAAGAAATAGCCTGGCCAAGATTTCTCTTCTGTCCTTGTTCATGTAACTCACCCATCATGGAACCAAATGGCAGGAAGCCTTCTGTTTCAGTGCCATCCCACTCCTAGACACCCAAATGAGGGAAGCCAAGGCCTCGCCTTTCCCTTCGCTTACATGGAACTGCCCACCTCATAGGTGAGATATGCAGTCCCACATCTCAGTATCAGGTCTGTAGTTGTTAGGCCAGCAGCACAAGAAAGGCCTACAGCCTTCCTTCAAGTCAGATGTCATGGACTCTGGTCTTCTGAGGACTTGCTTTCCTGTTGTTTTTCCAGTTTTGCTGGGGCAAAGAAAGGAGAGAGCTTTCTGTTAACCACCAACCACACAATACTATCTTTGCTGAATGAATGAAAGAACTGAATCATTTCAACTCTCAGAAGCTCCATAGGGATGTTCAAAAGAATTATTTGACCTATTGTAGCTAAAGTTTCTTTTTCTTTTGCAGACGGCAAGTACTTTGGTTGTGGCTGATGCTAGAATTTCTGGAATCTACAGTTGCATGGCTTCCAATAAAATAGGAACTGTGAAAAGAAACATAACTTTTTATGTTACAGGTAAGCCACAGTCCTACAGCCACAAAGATATCCTGTGACCTTGGTCTATCGTCAATCCTGTTTTCTTTGAGTGCACTTACACTTGAGTGATTTTTTTTGTTAAATCCATAGATTTGTCAGTCTTTGAGAACCTTCATTCTTATTCTTAAGAATAGAATTCTACAGCATCATTGGCTCTCCTAAAGTTATTTCCCTGAATTCTCTTTTAGAGTTACTTATGTTTGTCTTACTCCAGACTGGATTGTAAATTTGGGATCTTGTATATTCATTTTGAACACCCTTTAGTACCTACAGGAGTTTCTCAATAACAATCAAGGAAACCTAATACTTTTGCTGCTGTAGAATCTCTGTTAACCTAGAAGCTAATTGTTTCTTAACTTAAGTAATTTAGATTTTGGGGAGAATAAGGCTCTCTTAAAAATCTGAAACGGGAAAAAAATCTGAAACTGAGCTTTATTAACAATAGTTAATGAGTTTTTAAGAGCATGTAACGATTTTTAAATATGATGGTCTCTGCAAATCTTAAATCCTCCGAGGTACACAAATGGCACTCTTAATGTCCTTCTATGGGTACAGGAAGGAAATAAAGTAGCTAAAAGTATAAAAACAATTGCCTGGCTCCACACTCCCCCAATTTCTGAGGAAGGCTGGGCAGCATGCCAAGTCTCTGGAAACTTTGCACTGCATGAAGCAGGCTGCAGAGATTGCCTAGAAGTCTCCAGAAAGAAACAGGCAGGACTAATTTCATGAGACATATGGGTTCCCAGGAGTCCTTTGGCAAGTTAACCAAGCCCCAGAGAGGTCGTATGTAGGAAAGTCTCACAGGTGAGATCTGAAAGACACTCATAGAAGCTCTTCACATACTAATTCACATATTGTCCAGAGGAGAGGAGAGGTGAGACAAGGAGGTATATGGCTGAGCTGCTCTATGCCAAGTCAGCCCCTGTCTTCTCACCATACAGAAGTGGAAGGAAAAGCATCTTTGCATCCATTCCAAGGGAGAAAAGACCTTCAGTTACAGAAGAATTCTGACAGAAATTTCATGTAGATTAGTTTGCTAATAAATCCAGATGTGTTGGATTAATTAGATATAAAGCTCTGTATTGTTATTTATATTTGGTTGGAAACAAGTTACCATCTGAATCCATAATCACTATATTTAGAGTACAAAAGATGGAGCAATGAATGCTTGCTCTTCTCTGAACCTTCAATAAGCGTGCAACAGCTTAATGAGTGCTATTAAGCAACGCACTTCACCTCTGCTCCAGATACTTGAAGGGGAATCACTGTAGCCCTGTCTTTCTAGGAAGACAATCCTAACACTGAGAAGATGAAAAAATGATAAATTATATGTCTCCTGGTATCAAAAATGTGGGTTCAGAGGAGTATGCTGGGGGCTGTGTGTGTAGCTAGGTGGCAGAGCACTTGCTTAGCACACACAGGCCCTGAGTTCTGTCCTCAGTGCTGTAAAAAATAAAGTAGTAATATGACAGGTAAATGTACTCTTTAGAGCCATCACTGTCCAACTATTCAACTACAATATAAAATACAAATGTCATTTAAAATTTCTAGTTACAACAGTCTTTAAAAGTAAATTTTGTTTATTCCTATATAGCCAAAGTATTATAATTTCAATGCATAATCAACATGGGAAGGATTGAATCCAAGGCCTTAAAGATGCTAAGCGTGTGCTCTGCCATTGAGCTACACCCTCAACCCTATAATTAACATTTTAAAAGTATTGTTTTCAGTTTAATCCGCTAAAATAACAAAATAAAATTCAGTACAGTGTTGGGCAGTGCAGCTCTAAGCCTCTGAGAAGGAAGCAGGATTGGGCACAGTCCTGGGGTGGGATAGAGATGAGGAGGTAGAGGGAAGAGACCAGGCCCTGCATTGGCAGAGACAAGATGAGAGTATCAGAGGAAGCCCACAAACCATTCATTTAACCACTGACAAGTTCTAGATCAAGCCAAGAAGTCATCACACGTGTTTTCATTTCCTATGGATAAATATGCCTTTACCAGGATCCAAAAGGCCAGGACAAGTTTAGAGTCCTGGGACTATTCAGAATTGCAGAGCAGACCGCAGGAGCACCTTCCAGTGCAGAAATGACACACGTCTCACCGTCCTCCACTCTTCTCTCTGCTCCACCCTGTCAGGGGCCATGCATACGTCCACTGGTGTGGTCTCCCCCACTCCTACCCCTCCCAGAGTCTTCTGTTGGCCACTTCTCAGGGGCTCCTAGAGATGCACACTGAATAGAAGTCTGCTCTCAGGAAGCTAGATCTCAGGAAGAGGAAGAGTTCTGAGTCAACCTGGAAACAAACCTGGGATCATCTTTTTTGGGAATCGTGGGATCCCAAGGATCCAGAGCATGATATAGGAATGGGGTGACACAGTCTCAGGGTGGACATATCTGCTTGGTGCCATAGACTCATCACCCCATAAGGAGGAATACAGCCAGAACAGAGCCTTTGAAACCTCCCTTGCCTTGGTCTGGCTCAGTACCGGAAGAGAACTGCTAAGAATAAAGAGCAACAGTATTCACACTTCCTTCAAATGTTCCTGCTGGAAAATAAGAACCTTTTTCCTTTAGAAATACAAGGGCTTTAATATTAAAACAGCACAACTTCAAAAAGTCTGGCACTCTTTGCCTAGAATATGCTTTCTTCAAATAATTCATTCCAACCAATCTTGAAAAATTCTATTTTGGATTGGTGATAGATTGCCTGGCTTACATTCATTATTTATATTTAGCTAGTGATTATCTTTTTTCTTACTCAAATTTTCATCACAAGATTTATTTTCTCTAGAAATGAGACGAAGTACTAATATGCTCCACCTTACATACTTATTTTTCTGAATAAAATTAATGTACATTTATTCAGTATTTATATAGTACTTTACTCAGTGACAGTAATGCTTTAAAGGTGGCTACCTAAAATTTTAATGCTGTTGCTGGGTGAGGTGGTGCATGCCTGTAATCCCAGCACTTGGGCAGCTGAGGCAGGAGGATCGCTGGGAGTTCAAGACCAGCCTGGGCTACATAGTGAGTTCCAGGTCAGACTAAACTACATAGTGAGACCCTGTCTCAAAGAATCCAAAAAAAAAAAAAAATTAATGCTGTAAAGATCTAGATTTTAATCTTTATTCTTCAATTCAATTATGTTTCCCCTTTCTTTTTTGGGGGTACTGGGGGTTTAACTTGGGACCTTGCGCTTGCCAGGCAGGCAAGGTGCCACTGAGCTATACATCCCCAGCCCATGTTGCCCCTTTCTTAAAATACAAATGCTTTGCCTTTGAAACTGATAAAACTGGTTATCTGTGGCCATTCCCATTTTTGATAGCTTTGACTGCAAACTTTAGTACTAACTTATTTGTACATGGCATCTACTTGAAACAAGTAAAAGCTTGTAAGTAACCATTCACTTGCATTTAGAGAATGTTATTTCCATTCTCCAGTGTAAGTAAAACTTCTGTATTTCTACCTGATAAATCTCTTTCATCTTTTTACATATCTATGCTTGTCTCTTTAATCAATGTAATCCACATGCCTAATGCAATCATGTCAAAGTGTTTACCACCAGACATTCACCTTTATAAACAGATTACTCTTTCACCTAACTATAGATTGGATGTCTCTCATGAGCAAGGGTTGATTCTTCTCTGTGACACCTCATAAGACTTTACGGATATGACGTGTTAAATGGAAGAATGATGGAGAAGACTGTTGAATCTGAAACAGATACTGAAGTGTGGGAAGATTTCTTGTTTTCACTTGGAGGTCTAGAAGGCAATTCTTTCTTGGGTCTGTTTTTGTACTCATGCTAAAAAAAAATCAACACGAATTAAGGAGAAATCCCTCTGGGTTCATTAAGCAGTTGAGGACATTCTATTTATCATCTTCCATGGATCAAAAGAGAATACCAAAGGGCTTACATTGAGAAATTGATATTCCTGTCTAAGAGACTGTCTGATGACTTAAGCCAAATTAAGTTCACTAACTGTGACTCCCGTACAAGGAATAGACCTCAATATGGATTTGGTTCTTGTCTTTTCCTCTGTGTGTGTTTTGGAGTTTTGCTGGCATTAGGCTTGACCATAGGTGTGTGAGCAATTACGGAGGGTGCAACAGGAACAGCACTGCCTTATCTCCCTGGTTTCCCAATGTCACTAAATGCATTTTATTTTGAGATTCCTGGTGGTGCTTGGCAAAGATAAACAAAATCTTCCATCAGGAAACCTGTGAGCTATTTCCACAGGAAGTTTCAAATCACTAAAATAAACAGAAGCTCGCTACATGATCTCAATGGTGTTACTGGGCTCCCTTGGGTTCTGACAAGCAGGATGGCACATCATGTGTGGAAAGTTTGTGGTCTCATTAGAAACTATCTGACTGCAACCAGTGCCTAGGACCTCTGCTCTACTATCTGTGTGAAAGCGGATGGGTAACATTTTACTCCTCATATTTGGAAAATGCCCAAAATGTAAAAAGATGCAGAGTTAGAATAGCTATTTCTGACACTTCACTTTTAGGTTAAAAATGCAATATTCCTGCATCTTATAGCACATTCTTCAATTCTCATTTTGAAGCAGAAAATCCTCCAATGATCTTCTCTCTTCTCAGCCACTGACAGCTTCATATGCACAGTTAGCCCCGCACCCAGCCTTCAAATACTTGAATACTTTGGCATTTCTTCAGACGTGACACTTTATAATAAAGCCAAAGCCCAGAAAAATCAGAAAAACAAGCAAAGTGAGATCTAGGAAAGAGTTGATATGATATCTAATTTTGGACTATTGTCCGCTTCAGGTTTAAAGGTTTCTTTATAGCTTTGTGTGCAAAGGATAATAATAATAATAGCATAACATAGTGCTTTTCATCTTCAAAGCACTTTGTAAAATGTTGGCCCAAATTCTTTGCTCAAATATAGATACACCACTAGTAACAAGCAACAGGAGGGTTTTGCGAGCAGGTCAGTTCAGGGCCAGTGGCCAATGTTTAAAACTCTCCCTGGGGAAATGGTCCAAGATGACACTGAGCAACTTGTAGCCCTAAAGCTAAGTGATGGTTTTGATAGGAATGCTTCAGCAGAAAGATGCACAGGTTATTGCTTGGGCACCTAGGAGAAGGAGAGGAAGATGAGTTGGAAATGACATTGGACAAAATAACTTTTAATGACAGTCACGTTCAGAAAATGCTTTAGGGCCGGGGATTTAGCTCAGTGGTTCTGGTGACTCCCTCACAAGCACAAGGACCTGAGTTCAATTCCCGGTACTGGGGAAAAAAAATGCTTTAAATGTTTCTTAGAGTAAGGTTGATTTTTTCTTAATCTTGCAGTGTGAGATCAAACACAGGATCAAACACACATGCTAGGCAAGCACTCTACTACTGAGTACACTACCACCCTCAGTCCTAAATTTTGTAAAAAATTATTTTTGTGATATTTTTGGAACCTGACAACTCTTCTACACTAGCTGTCTGCATTAGCAGAGGAAATATTTGCTTTTTTTTTTTGGAGGGGTGGGATTGGGGATTGAACCCGAAGTTTTTACACTGAGCTATATCTTCAGCCCTTTAAAATATTTTTTAAATTTTGAGGTAGGGCCTCGCTTAGTCACTAAGTTGCTCCGGCTGGGCTCAGATTTGCATCCTCCTGCTGTTTCCCATAGTGTTGGGATTATATGGGTGTCCCTGACAGGTTGCCCATCTCTGCTCTCTTATATCTAAGTAGGATCATCACCATAACAGGGAGGCTGAACAAGTAACCTGGATCCTCTGGCCGGTTGTGCCAGCAAAGAGTAGGGAACTACTCTGTAACCTCAGGTGAGGGGGACTGAGGAACAGCTACTTCTCCTTAGAAAAGGTAGGAGTAAAGTGGTGTTGATCAGCGTGTGCCTCCAGCTTTCCATGCTCACTTGTAAGCTACCTTGGGTACGTCTGCCCATACATGTATCTTTGGTTTTTAATACAAATCACTATCTTTTAAAAAATTTTGGGGGCTGGGGATTTAGCTCAGTGGTTCGGTGGCCTGCCTTGCAAGCGCAAGGACCAGAGTTCAATCCCCGGTACCAAAAATAAAATAAAATAAAATAATAAAAATTTAAAAATTGTATTTATTTTTAAATTTTTATTTTATTTTACTTTACTTTTTTTTTTGAGACAGGGTCTCATTATGTAGTTCAGGCTTGCCTTGAACTCACTCATGTAGTCCCGACTGGCCTCAAACTCACAGCAATCCGTCGGCCTCAGCCTTCTGAGTGCACCACCATGCCCAACTCAAATTGCTTTTTAATTCACTATTTTGTTCACATCAATGGTCCATTTATCAGCAGGAGGACTATATATGAAAAGCAAATGAGAAACAAGGTTATCTCAAGTTGGGAAAAAACATTTTCACTGTGAAGAGCAACTCTGGGCAAATAATGAAAAAGTACCAGAAACAGCAACTCCCCATTTTGCATTTCTTATCTCACTGCTGATGGAATCAGCATGCTTGGTTCCTCTTTGATGATTCATCAGTTCCTCTAAGACAAAAAAGATAAATACCCTTTTTAATGCTGATGCTGAATTTACATCCAGATCTGTTGACTGTCTCATTATGAGACTTATTCTGAAGCTCTTCATTCTTATTTTACAGATGTGCCAAATGGGTTTCATGTTAGCTTGGAGAAAATACCCACGGAAGGAGAGGACCTGAAACTGTCTTGCACAGTTAACAAATTCTTATACAGAGACATCACTTGGATTTTGCTGCGGACAGTTAATAACAGAACAATGCATCACAGTATCAGCAAGCAAAAAATGGCCACCACTCACGAGTACTCCATTACTCTTAACCTTATCATCAAGAACGTATCCCTGGAAGATTCGGGCACCTATGCCTGCAGAGCCAGGAACGTATACACAGGGGAAGAAATCCTTCAGAAGACAGAAGTTATAATTAGAGGTGAGCACTGCAACAAAAAGGCTGTTTTCTCTCGGATTTCCAAATTTAAAAGCACAAGGAATGATTGTACCACACAAAGTAATGTAAAACATTAAAGGACGCATTAAAAAGTAACAGTTGTCTCATATCACCTTGATTTATTGTCACTGTTGCTAACTTTCAGGCTCAGAGGAGATGTTCCTCCCAAAATGAGTTCGGAGATGATAGGAGTAATAATGAGACACCCCCAGTGCCAGCTCGGGGCTCCCCCTTCGGGCTGAGGGGGTCTGCTCCCCAGGGCGACTTGGTGCAAGTTTGGATTTGGAGGATCCCTGCACTGCCTTCTCTGTGTGTTTTGCTCTTGCTGTCTTCTCCTGCCTGATAAACAACAACTTGGGACTGATCCTTTTCTTCCACTTTGATGCCAACCTCTTTTTATTTTTAACTTGTGAAGCTGCACAAACTGAATAATTTAAATAAAGGCTGGTTTCTGCCAAAGATGGACACGAATAAATTAATTTTCTAGCTCAGAATGAGTACAGTTGAATTTGAGACTCTGTCGGACTTCTGCCTGCTTTTATTTTGTACAATTTCATCTGCTCTTGATTTGTAAATAGCACCTGGATAGCAAGTTATGATGCTTATTTATTTGAAAATGCCTCTTTTTTTTTAACATTAAGCACATTGATCTTAAACTGGAGTTTCTACAATGGGCCCCAGGGGTGCAAGATGTTGGTGTAATTCAAAAAGAACAAAGCTTTGTCTCTGTGTGAATTATGCAAGCCCACCCAAACCAACACGCCTCCCCCTCACCCAATTCCTCTCATCCAATTCCGGGTAACTGTAATTAGTAGCTAAGTCCAGCAACTGTCCACTCCTCCTCACTGCCCTCACTGCACCGGATGACCACTGACAGCACCTAAAAGTGCATTATAGCTTCATTTTTAATATTTGTACCCCCCTGGTTAATGTTCAAAAGAACTTAATCATGTTTAAATAACATCATTCAAAGGTGGTCCACAATCCGTTCGTCAAGAAAATAAAGGTTACTGTGACCAGAGGTCTAACGCATTTTTATAAATGTCAGTTGAAAATCCGTCTCCTTAAAAAGTCCACTTTACCCATATGCAAATGTTAATAGAATTTTTATGGGGATTAAGAAATGGCAAAACTGTAGAAGAATGAAAATCATTTAAAAGTACCTGTCACTTTTTTTTTTAATCAAGAGAGAATTTAATCTCTTGTTTTAAAGGTTGTGTTTGAGGGGAAAGTGACTTTTTCATCAATTTAATAAGCATTGTTCTGTTTTCATTTATGATTAATCATTATAAGTGCCTCGCAGGGACTATAGAGGAAGAAAAATTAGAATGACCAAAATAGCCATGGCTGAGAAACACAGTGGCTGGGCAGTTCAATAGGAGGTGACAATATGACAACTTTTCAAGCTTGGGAACACACCAGCCTGTTTCCTCTTTTCGGTAACAGACTCTGTGCCATGGCTAAACTTGTCTTTCACGTGGGAATTGCTTTTGTCAAGAGTGCAAGAGTGGAAGAGTAAACAATAGCATTTCCCCAGAATGCCAGTTTTATGGAGCCCCAAATGCTTGGAAAACAATTAGTAACCTGGAAGTTGTCAGCCCAAAGGAAAGAATAATCAATTGTATTTTGAAATTTTACCTATGGTTCTTTAGCCTGACCTCTTTGTTCATTATAAGTCAGTGTGTTCCTTCAGCAAACAATGCCTCAGTGCCATAGAACTTGGGGGCCTTGGATTTTACAAAAGCTAAAAACGCAAATGAAATGATTTAGGGATTTCTTATGAAAAAAATATGAATTAGACATGTAGAACCTGCCATTTCCTTCCCCTTGTAGTTTTTCTGGGGAGGAGAGAATATTAGTATTCCAAGAGATGATTTTTAAGAATTCAATAGAGCAATTGTTTGGTGTGTAATTAACCCTTTCCAGAAGTTTTTCTTTTGTTAAAGAAACTATTGGATGAGTTTTATTTTTTATTCTTTCTAGTATGAAGTGATAAGAGAATAACAGAGAGGACAGAAGAAAAAGAAAAAAGCCTTAAGTAAAGAATAATGGCCGAGGGGGGGTATGAGGCTGGTTCCTTATCTTCCCCCTTTCCAAATGAAGTAAAGGAACTGTGTATTTATGGAACCTGGCAGATCTCTGGGGCCAAAATGCTGGAAAGCAAAAGAAGAACTTGGTAGGCAGCTAACTTTAGCTACTTATAACCAATAGAAGTATTCCATTAATTCCGATTTTCTGAAGCAATCAACTATGCTTGTGAAATTTAGAAAGCAGTTCCCATCAATATGTATGTGTTCAGTACACTGTTCTTACTTAAGAGGTTGGAATAGATTATTACAATGTATGAAGAGGGAAACTGACAAAATGTGCCCTGGGTTAAGACATCACTGAAAAGTAGGCAAAAATAAGACACTTCACATAGAAAAACATTTATAAGAAATAAATTCTAATACTGTATGTTTCAGAATGTTTATATGAACCTTGTATTTAATTGAGAGTTCCATGTTTATTCTGCAGCTTTTTTGCTGCTTTTTGTCTGAACTTTGTGTAGTACAAATAGGGCCTCTGGGAGTCCTTTATGATATTTATGTTAGAATAAAATGTTCTCTTGTATAAGCATTGTTTTCTGAACACCTGTCAGGGAAGTCCAAATCCTGTCTGTGTTGATGTTTTGGATTTGAGATATGAAAATAATTTGGGTGTTGGGGTCCCTATATTCAAACTTCCTTTTTATAAGGACTATGCAATAATAGATTATTTTATCATATTTAACACATTGGAAATAGTAAAATGTGCTGGAGGAAGCTATTATGAATATAACTGAGTGAACTGGGTCTGAGGTTGTGGTTGGTGGTGGGTTTTTTTTTTTGTTTTTTTTTTTTGTTTTTGTTTTTTATAATGGATTGAACCTGGGACTTTGTACTTGCAAGGCAGGTGGCAGAACCACTGAGCTAAATCCCCGGCCCAAATGGGGTTTGAGTTTTAAGTGAGATGCATCAAAGTTGGCTTTCCACTAGTTAAGGATATGAAATAATGATACAGTATTGCTCTTTATCATCTAGTCACATTTCACTGATATGCTTGGAGTCTTTACAGCATTAAAAATGTCAAAATTCTAGTGAGCAAATGTGAACAAGTTATAAAATGAAGGCTTTAAATGGGGCTGTATTTTCAGTTAGGAAAAGTTGTGTGACATTGTACAGAATGCCAGCCAGAAATCTGGTAACGGCCCTGCCTCCAGGGGAAGATAGGATGAGACAGAGATTCTGTACGAGGCTCGAAGTTTATTGCTGTCATTCAACCCACACTATGTTTGAAGAATGTTTTATAAATCAAAGGACTTCTTTCAATCCTTTTTTATCTTCAGATTTCATTTTATATAAAATAAGACTAATAATAAACTATGGAAATCAAAATTTATTGAGAAATCTGTTTCTCCTTATAGTAACTCTGCCACATTATACTATTTCAACATGTTATAAAAGTTATATAACATACTTTTTAACCTGAGATATTTAAATTGCTTTAAGGAATGCTAATCCTGAGAGTTTTCCTGCAGGAATAAAGAGAGAAAAATGTTTTGGGACTCAGCTGACTCTTAGAGGGATGTGGAATCAAAGCCATTGTACTGAATCCTCTTTTGTAGCATTGCAATCATGCCTAAGCCGATTTCACTGTTAGTACACTAAGATGAAATGACAAATGGTCAGAGAAAGTTTGTACTATATAAATGAAACCAGTGATGCAGAATGTGTAACTTATTCCAAAACTCTCAATTTCTGTGCCACGATTTATAACAAGAAGAAAAAGGGGTAACTTGGGAGGGTTGAAAGATACAGGAGTTGTTTTATTCTTTTATATTGGAAGCCTGAGCTACCAATCCAGTAGCTACCTACTAGAATGTATATACATCAGCAGGACTGACTGACTACTTCATTAAATAGAATCACTGTACTCATCGGGGGCTTTGGGGGTACTGCTGTTCCTATGTGGGATTTTAATGTTGTAATGTATTGCATCTTAATGTATTAAATTCATTTTGTTGTACTATATTGGTTGGCATTTTATTGAAATAAATTGTATTGTATTATATTTGTATGTTTTAAGAGAAAATAATATAAAATACAGTATTTGTACTATTATATAGTGCAAAACCTATAAATCCCTGCCTCTGCCTCTTGAATTAATCCTTTGATTGCTTGCATTTGGGAAGGGTTTGGAGGAAGGGAACAATCAATAAAGCTTTCAAAATTCAAGAATTCTACCGTTTGGTCTGCTGCCTTACAATTTAGATTACAGAGTAACACAGACACGCTGTCACAGACATCAATAAAAATACATGAGAAATTGGGCTGGGAATGTGACTCAGTGGTAGAGTAAGTGCTTGCCTAACGTGCAAGTCTGATCCCAGCACTGCAAAAAGAAAAAAAAAGAGAAAACAGAAAAGAAAGACATCATAAAATTATATTACCCCATCACTACACTATATATTAATGTAAACATTCATTACAAGCCTGTAAAATGTATAGCTCCTAGAATATAAAACAAAATCTTTGTTTTATAGAAGCTCTTCAAAAGAAAGAAAGAAAGGAAACTACTTGGCCAGGCAAAAACCTTTGTATTACTATCTAAAAATATAGACTCTAGTCCTTGATTTTACTGCATTCTACTACATTTCAATTATTGCAGCATCTTATTAAAGGGGAAGCAGGTTAGCTACTGAAGAGCAAGTTAGGGAACAAAATGAAAATGAAACCCTTGGTCAAATTTTGCTTCTTATCTATAAATATTTAAAATGTTGACATGCCTATGCAAAAAAGTAAAACTGACAAGTAATCACAACTCCCTTTCTTTCTTCACCAGATCAGGAAGCGCCACACCTCCTGCAAAACCTCAGTGATCACACCGTGGCCATCAGCAGCTCTACTACTTTAGACTGTCATGCTAGCGGTGTCCCAGAACCTCAGATAACTTGGTTTAAAAACAACCACAAAATACAACAAGAACCTGGTAAGAGATTTTTTTTCTCTTTTTATTTTTACTCTTCATCCTTCCTTACTTCATTCTCTCTTAACTCCCCCATCACCTGCTTCCCTTAAATCTAGACCCATTTGCTGATAGAGCTGCAAAATTAGACAGTAGTTCATTGCTTATATAACCCTCCCATGAGTGATTGGGCCAGTCTGACGTGTCTCATATTTCTAACCCTTACAAAAGGTCCTTAGAGAATCTATTCAACTGGAAGTAGTGTATTGAGAAAGAAATGAGAAAAGCCACTTGGAAAATGGTTCAGTTCAGTCAAAGAGCTGGGAAAATGAGGGTGAATTTCTTGGCTTGAGGCATTCCAGAGCTTTGAACACCTGGCATGTGTGAAGTTAAGAGAAGCAGATTTATAATCTTTTTGATTCACCAAATCAATTTTAATGATTTGGAAAGAAGACTATTTTAAATGATATTTTGTTCTGGTAGAACAGTTGGTAAGCTAGTTGTTGTGGGTTTGTTTTCTTTCAACAATAAATACTCCTACTTCAACTAGACTTAAGCCAACAAGTGTAAACACAGTCTGTTGCCTGCCTTGTAAGTCTATGGTGAGATAAAAGTAAACTGAAATTTATGTTTTTGCATATTTATATTAAAAATAAAATGCCACTTGTATAGTATGCATAAGACTCTGGGTCCAATCCCCAGAACCACAAACAATACTAATAATGCAATTTATTTGCGATATTTCAACAGCCTAAATCAAATAAGTGGCAATATGAAGTGAGTCTTTTCCTCAGAATGAAACCTCCATTTGAGTCTGACGCACAAAAAGAGGTTGTGATATGACAACTCCAAATTTTAAGATATTGACAAATGTCTTAGGGCCTGTATGCTGCAGATCCAAAACCAGTTATATCCTTTCATTTTTCTTCATAAAGTAGCACCTCATACTAACGTCATTCACGAAATCATCCAAAGATATATGTCACGATCTCTCCTCTGCCTGCCCCATTTAATCACAACATTCAGCAGGTTATAACTACTAAATACTAAATGTTTATCAAATCCATCCTGTCCTCCAAGTCTCTATTCTCTTGGCTGCGGTGCTTATAACTATCCTTTGAACAACAGCAGATACTTCCCAACTTATCTCCTTACCTCTCTTTTCTCTCTCAGCAGCCATTTGCTCTATAGCTGTATAAGATGCAACTGTGAATGGGACCCTTCTCTCCTTGCATCTCCCTCCAGTTGCCCATCATACTGTCTAATACAGTTCAAGCATCTGCAGAGAAGACTCTCCACAACTAGCCCTGTCTGCTCCTATGCTGTTCGGCCTTCCTGCCTGGGACTTTCTAACGGAGTTATTCCAATCCCTTACTGAACACTGTACACACTGTCCTGCTTCAACCTTCTATACTCTTTTTGTTCTTGTGTCTTCATTTGCCTGGAGCACCTTCCCTTCATCTGATGCCTACACATCCCTTGAAGTCAGATTTAGAGTCTCCTCCAGAAGGCTTTAACTCCCACCTAGATGAGGCAATAATGAGTCTTTGTTACTTATGTTTCTGCTTCTCGTACAATGTTTTCCTTTCTTTATAACCATCAATTCATATGTGTATTATCTATGCATATTTCTGCTGCTCTCACCATATTTTTTAAAAACAATCAGTTGATATGTATTTCGCGTCCAGAGGGCATATAATGTCTTACTTGTTGGCTTATATGTATCTTGTCTTTATAGCCTCAGAACCTAGCATAGTACTTGGCAATCACTCAACGTTCCATGCATGAATGTTTTTCAGAAAACCATGTCTTCCATTAGCAAGTTCATATAATAGCACATATTCCTCAATTTGGGGATTCCGTATCAAATAATTTTTAAAGCCGAAGAGACCTTTGGAGTATCTTTAGTCCAATCTGGAGAATGGAAAACTTGTCCAAAGAGGTAACATGGTTTTCCCATGTTACACACTACCAATATAAACCAATTACACACTTCCAACAGATAATTTCATGGAAAATGAACCACTTGGAGAGTTCTACCAGAATAAAAAGATGAGTGAACACATGCACAGCACATGAATAGTTTGTGAAAGGATGTATATAAAACACCCTTCCCTTAAGAGTTTCAGAGGGTACATTAGTGTACTGAAGACCCAAAGAAGTCCTGTGTTCAGAAACCTGGCAATCTGGTTCTAATTCTGTATCCCTCAAACTAACTTGATTGCAAAATACATTTTGTGACATATTAATATAAGATGTTGGAGTTTTCTTTGAAAGAAGTAATTTTTCCTCAGTTCAATTTTCATTTCTTGGATGTGGGTTAAAGGACCAAGAAAAACTGATTTTGAAAGCTCATAACTATTATGGAACTAGAGAAAAGACACCACAAGAGAAAGTATCCAGGAAGTCACTACAAATGAAACAAGGTTATGAGCTGCTCAGGAGATCAGGGCTTGAGGCTCAGTGGTACTGTCACTGCTAATGTATGAATGTGGGCACTCACTTGACCTACTGTCTGAGCCCTGCTCCCTTGTTTATAAGACCTCAAGGGGCTGTGGTGAATTTGAATGAGTTAACATAACTAAGCTGGCCCATAGTCATGGCTTGGTAGATGCCACCTTCTGACCCACTTAATTTACACAGAAATTGGTCTCTGAATTGCCAGAAGTCATTGAGAGGTGTGGAGAGTTAATAAGTCATCAAAATTTTTAAGTAACTCTAAAACAGAATAAGAAAGATAGCTATCCCTGAAGACTACCTAAAACAGGTTTTAAATTCTGAGGCAAAACTTGTTATAAATATCACTCTAATATGCTACTATTAGCACTCATTAAGCTCAACTATGCTGTTATAACTATAGCCTTTTTGAAAGGAATTTCTTAATTCCTTTGGAGATACTCTTTTATTTATACTTTTTTGGAGACACTCTTCTATAAAGTTTCATACATGATATTTCCATATCAGGCAACAAATGCAGTAGTCAGTGCCCTGTGCTCCATGACTATAATCCACCCTTACATGCATACATACAGGTATCTTCCACAATGCCAACTCTTTTATGATTATTTCTTTTCACAAACCTACAGATAACAATTATAGGTAACCAAAGTGACCATTCCTGACTCACCAGTGTTCCAAACTAAAAGGAAAGAACATCAAGCTCCCAGTCTGAAAAAGCTGAAAACTAGTTTATTGTATACTAGGCCAATGAGGCCAGTCTGAGTTTTAAAATGCTGAGGTTAAGGTGTGCATCCAGAGGAGCCCTGGGATGTATTTTTTATAGGAAGGCTACAGTAGCAGCTCAAAGAGAATTCCTACACCCAGAGGATTTTAGGAGGTTCAGATCACTGGTAGAACCCAGTCCAGTATCATTGTCATTTGCTAAATGATAACTCATCCTTATTCCAAAGAAAATATGAGAGAGGAAGCTGGGTACACATGCAAGCTCACATTCCAATGGCTACAAAATGCCTGCTGAAAGAACATAGAACAGCTGGAGCTTTTTCCTCCCTGCTCATTTCCTCTTAGGAAAAACTTTACAGAGGGACACAGGCATTCTCTAGAAGAAATGCAGAAGACAGTGTCAGGAAAGCTGTGTAGTACCTAAATTTTGGGGCCAGAGGGCATAAAGCAAGAACAAAAGATATCTTAAGTGTGCATGCCAAGAAAGCTTGTGCTTGGGGCAGGAAGACAATTCCTGCCAAGGCAAGCTGTAGAAGAGAAGGCACATCACACATCCCACTGCCCACCATCACCTGACTCCCCATGCTGCCTCTCTCCCAGCTCACCACCCAGCCCCCAGACCCATTACCTCTTGCTTCCAGCTACCCACATCTTCTGCTTGTCTTTCTCCTCCTTTCTCAGCCCTCTGGGCAATAGGCTGCTTCCAGTCCAGCCTAGAAAACTGTCCTTCTCTAAGTTCTTGTCTTGAACTCTTGTCACCAATGATCCAGGACCAGGATTCCTCCTTTCTTCCATTGTCTAGGTCTTACTACAATTCATAGAATCTAGCACATCATTTAGTTTTCTTTGGTTTTATCTGTGCTTATTTTGGGAATCTTTGAAGATAGATATGATGCCTTCATATATATCCTTTATGATAAATAATCATTTAAAATTTATTAAGCATTTACCAGGCATATTTAATTTAATGAAAATTAAATACTTCATTTAATTTTTACAACAATTGCATAAGGGGGAGGTACTTTTGTTAGATGTGTTTCACAGATTGATTTTACTTAACAAGTACTGATTAGGTTCCCAGAACTGCTCCAAGCACTTTTTTGATATTAATTTGTGTACTCATCACAACAATTCTATGAGGTTTGCTAAGTTATCATCCTGAAAGAGCAGACGAGATAGGAGAAATAACTAGCCCCAGGTCACAGAGTTAGTGGGCAGTAGACCAAGGTTCAAATCAAAAGAGTTTGACTCTGAAGGCTGAGCATGTGAAACTAAACATAGTCATACTGCTCCAGAGAACAGACAAGTTGCAAGAGTCCTAGTGGGCATCCACAAGCATGTATTTAAAACAGCAAATATCTCCTCCTTCCTAATCCTTAAACAAGAAGTCTTCCTTCTGAAGTCTTGATTTAAAGCACTTTTTCAAACATTTTAAACCATATTAAAAATTTAAAAAGAATAATTTTGAACCCAAATCTAGTTACTCTTAAGTTTTAGAAGGTCCAGAACTCAGCCTAAGACTCATTATTTACTTATCCAACAATGTTTATAAGGGTCTGTTTTGTTATCTGGCACTGTGCTAGGCTCTGCAAATACAGCAGTGAACAAGAAAATTAAAACCTGGATAACCAAAAATATAAAGGAATTAACTTCTGTATATATCTCAATAAAATAAAAATATAAAGAAATTAACATATATATATAATATATATATGTTATATATATATCAATGAAATACAGCTTCTTCAAGCAGCAACCAGGGGTCCTGAATTATTCCCTATCACCAGGTCAACTTGTCTAAAAATGAATTCAGATGAATTAATTAGTAGGGAAGCAGAAAA